TAAGAAACCAATGGTTTCCTTACTCAGACAGAATCATCTCTGAATGTTTTCTCTTTCCATAGAACAAAGCAAAACGTTGTTTGTCAGAGGCCTTTCTGAGGACACCACAGAGGAGACGCTAAGAGAATCATTTGAGGGCTCTATAAGTGCTAGAATAGTCACAGACAGAGACACTGGATCATCTAAAGGGTATGTTAAAGAGCATGATAAACATAAGCCTGGGATTAATTCAGTTGCTACCAAGAGCCTCACTTTAACTGATGTGCATAGAGTGGGGGGTTTCTCATGTTCCTGTGTGGGTGATTCTTTGAAACTTGTAAATCATACAGAACCAGGGAGCAAGCTTACAGCCTCAGGTCTGCGTGTAGAGGGCAGCGTGTGCTCACTTCTCAATGAGCTCCTTCCTGCCAACAAATCCGTGGCAGCCTATGGATTCGCACGAGAAGAATATTAACTGTTCAGTACTGGCAAACTCACACTGGGGCTCCATCGATTGTGATTAGCCACTGCTGTTCTACAAGTACTGGGTCTTGATGCCTGTGTGGCTGCAGAAGTGTGGGTGTTTGCTTCTGAAATAATTGCTATTGAGTACCTGTAGGTGGTGCTGCAGCTTGTGGAGTTTGACTGTTTCTCTTAACCCGTTTTGTAGGTTTGGGTTTGTGGACTTCAGCTCCCCAGAAGATGCCAAAGCAGCTAAAGAAGCCATGGAGGACGGAGAGATAGATGGAAACAAAGTGATCCTCGATTTTGCCAAGCCAAAGGGTGAATTTCAACGTGGTGGCGGATTTGGCGGTGGATTTGGCGGTCGTGGCGGCAGAGGAGGAGGCCGAGGAGGAAGGGGTGGATTTGGTGGCAGAGGTGGTGGCAGAGGATTTGGAGGTAAGAGCTGTTTTTCTAAGGGGGTGTGCTCAAAAAATAACCCAAAGCCATTCTTGAGGTGATGGTGTGTTGCCACCACAGGGAGTGCTTGGTGTGAATCTGTTTTCTGTCCTGTGCCAGGATGGGTTTGGAAGGGCAGTGGTAAGTGTGCAGGGATACCTGTAACACTACTTCTTGTAATAATTTTCTTTCTAGGTAGAGGAGGAGGCTTCCGAGGAGGCAGAGGAGGAGGTGGAGATCACAAGCCACAAGGGAAGAAGATAAAGTTTGAATAAACTTCCCTTTTCCTTTCCCTTCTCCTGCTCTCTGAGACTATCTGAAAGGACTCCGGGGGTTTTTATTCTCCTTTGATCTTGGCGGAGCCTTCGGAGGACATTCCAAGATGCGAAGCAGTACTGTGAGCCACTTGGAAGATACAACTTTCATTTCAAGGAAGAGAGAGCAAGCCATTTTGACTGCTTGCCTATTCAAAGGAACTTTTTAAAAAAAATGAGCGATAGATGTGGGAATTTACCCCTTGTCTGTGAGTTGTCTTGAATTTATAATGTTTTACCCATGTACAAAACTTTTTTTTTCCTATAAACTTCTGTAGCATTTTTGCTGTAAAAATGCAGAATGTTTTATCATTTGTGCTTCAGCACCCTGTCTTGGACAGATTAAAGGACCTAAACTGGTTCGTGTTACTTCTGTGCCGCTAAATGAAGCAGGGCTCTAAGAGCCTGGCTTGAGCCCTCTCTCACGATCACTGACAGCACAGACAGCAGCTAGCATCCAGCTCTGCTCTAGCCTGTCAGCTCCCCACCCTCTGTGCTGTGCTTAGAGTGCTTGCACAAAGGAGGAGGGGAGAGGAAGATGATGGCTGAGGTAGCCAGACAACTATGCTTTTTTATGTTTTGTCGCTTTTTTTTTTACTTTTTAAAATAATTAAGTAAATTGGATTTTGTACCAAGGTTGTGCACCTCAATCACACTCCTACAGGCCTTGCCTCTTGTCTCTTCTTGACTTGGCCCAAGGTCTGAAGCAAATAAACTGAAGCACGGAGTTGGAGCGGTAACTGTGTCTGCGACCTTGACAAAGCACCCTGTGCGGGTGAAAGGGCTGCATCCTGACCCAGGCCCACAGCAGTTACCTGTCTCTTTTTTTCCAGCCAGGTGCCTGGCTGGTGTCCTGCAGTGGCAGCTGTTGGGGGACAAGACTGCCCTTGTGGCCGCCGCAGGTGGGTGCTGTTTTGGTTTAACCGCAGCAGGCCTGTGGCTCAGGCCTCCCCTGGGCACAGGTACCGAGTGTCCTCTGCCAGCCGAGCCCTCATGGGAGCGGGGGGCAGCAGCCTTAAACCTCAGCTCTGGCTGTGGTTGCGGACACCTCCCCCCTCTTGGCGTATTGTAGAACCGTGGGTCAATTTTTCTATTGCTACACAAAGTCCTGGCAGCCCCTCAGCTGGTGCTGCCCTCTGCCTATAGCTTCCCACCATACAGCCCCGTGAGGGGGAAAAAAGGATTCCTCTACAGATAAAATACTTTGTGTGGAGCCGGAGGGGGGGCGGTTGCTTTGGGCTCGAGGGCTGCCGCCGGGCCGCCGTTTCCCTGGGCCCGCAGCCATTTTAGAGTCGCCGCCTGCGCCCCGGCGGCAAATGGTCGGAGGGCGGC